ATATATGTGTGTGTGTGTGTGTGTTTTTGTGTATGTATGTGTATATGTGTATATAAATATATACATTTACACACACACACACAGACATGTATATATATATAAATATATATATGGATATATATTGTATTTGTATATGGATATATGTATATACGTATATATTTATTTGTATACATGTATGAATTTATATGTATATTTCATACTGTATGCGTTACATTTATGTATTTCTAGTCATGATCTATAAACTATTGTTGGTGTTTCACGATGCCTGATTAAAAGTTATATAGCGTTTGCATTTTTCAAACTATCGAGCTGGGACTTTTTGTATTGATGCTATAATGTTTGATTGTTGTTTTTGGGCAATTCTAGGCGAGTTTAACATTTTTAACTTTCGAACTATAGACCTTGGTCACGGAGAAATTAGCTTAAGTTCATATTAAACTTTTTACATGTATTTTATACAATCTTGCCTTTAGCTCAGGATAGTTTTTTCAAAGCTCAATTCAAGTTCTGCAATAATCACACTATGTGGAAGTCGATTGCCCTTTTAAAAAAGCACTTACCTCTCTTTCAACGTTCCAACTTCATACCAATTTTATTCTCCTATAGTACTTAATAGCGTACTTATAGCAGTTTCTTTATTAAATACGTACTTTCCATTTCTATCGTTACTATTCTCGCTTTTCAATTCATATACTCTCGAAGATTCGCATCTAAACAACGTTCCCTATTAGGCAGTATGATCTACGATTAACTCTGCATTCTTTAGATCACCAAATTCATTACAATCGATAAGAAGGAATAACTATCTTAATCTAGTATCTTTCTTTGTTCCATCTCATAGTTAAATAATCCACAATATTCGTTAGCCGTTTAATTGCTCCCAATGACGTTATGCATTGGCCATATTCCATCCTCATTCTCATTTGCCCCCTCCACACGCACAGGCGCTTCTAGTTCTGGCTACTTTACACTGCCTCCTTTTACCAAATTCTCTCGTACATAAGGTCGAAAATATCGTAGCAATCATGCGATTTTCTTAGACTTGTGCGTTTCCCTTTCCACCTCTTTGACCCGTCGTTTAAACTCAGCAACAAAACTGTTTTTCAGTTGCTTCACACTGCCTTTCACACTCTCAAACGTCTCGCTAGACCCCCTTGTCATCTGATTCTCACGATCGAGTGTCTCTGCCTCTGTATCTTCAAAGATCGCTGAATTTAGGTGATTATCGTTATTATTAGCATCTTCACAGACGTCACGGACACCTATAGGTTCGCGGTTGTTGACGTTGGCTTCCGCATGTTTATCTGTGTTTTTTTCGATTTCAAATGAGACCCTATTCATAGCACTTGGAAGTATGTACCGGTTACTTCGAACACGCCTCTACTATTATGTAGTTATAGATATTTATACACAATGAATACAAATGGTCACCTTCATCTGTTAATATTGTTTTATGCACAAACCTGCACAAACCTGAAAACTCAATACACTCGAGACACCGCCAACTCTGCGAGTCCGCGCCTTTACTATGTAAATAAATAAAGGCATAAATAGTCCTGGTCATCATTTTTTTTGTAGAGTCGACCCTTTTTTTTTCGTCAGGGCCCAGCAGCCAGATGGAGTTGTCCAGTTCATAAACAACTTTACATTTATAAATAGAATATTTTAGTTCATGAATGATCATTGATCATGAACCTTTTAAAAATAAATTAAAATTTAAAAAATATCATTTGTGTTGTACCAATGTAATTGGTCAACAATCGGACTCTACACATATTTTAATTATTAACCTTTTACTCTCGTTTGGCTTTTGCCCTACTAACTGAACTTCACTGAAGTCTTAACTCTGGAATTTTATTTTTATTTTTAAAGGCTATGCTACTGGCCTACTAAATACCAACAGTACCAAGCGCCAACTCCAAAACAGCCTGAGGGCTGAGGCCTGAGGGCCCTGAGAGGCTGAGGCGCTGAGCCCTGAGGGCTGAGCCCCTGAGGCGCTAAGTCAACTAGCCCTCTCTAGCGGAGTGGCGGGTCTGCAGGCCCTCTGACTCTGAGAGTCTGGGGCCTGGGTCCTGGGAGCTACAACTTTACAAGTCTAAATACATGCTTTTCGATTGTTTTGTATTTGACTGACTTTGTTTTGGTGAGAAAATATTTACATATATAAGCTCTCCAAATCTTGGCGCGGCTTAGCCTCCTTAACTGTGTATGAACTATTTACACAGCTGGCCTGGAGACTGGCTGGTGGTATTTACAAGACTATGCTTGTCAGAAGACAGTATTTACATGTACATGTTTCAATTTGAGTGCATGACGACGTGTCGAAACTCGACTCGCTCGAGTCTCGAACTCTCGACCGTTATGATCCTGATCACTTGATCAGCTGATGCCTGATACGACGGCTGAGTGCAGACGCTAAATCGCGATTCGCGAATGACCGGAAGCCTACCCCGGAAACTATTTTACCACTATATAAATTATCTTTTTAAAACCAAAATTGTCGTTTAGGCCATTTTTAAAAAGAAAGAAATAATATTTAGTCAAGTACAAACGCACAGCTTGTTTCGAATGGATGAAATCTTAAAAATTATATTCTATTTATAGCAACAAATAAAGCTATGTACATATTTGTGAGTGAGGGTTTTGACCCCCCCCCTCTTTTGCGTCTTCTGATTGGAAGCACCATATTTGTTTGTCATGTGACATTGAAAATTGTAAAGCCTTAGATTGCTTTGTTTAGTAGTAGTAGGCAATGAAAATTAGTTTTGTTTTGTTTTTGTTTTTTTGAATGCTGCTGTTGGTATTTTGTAAAACATGTCGGACTGGAACTCTGTATGACTGTATGAGTGTATTGGTGGGTCGGTGGCTGGACTGCCGAAGGCGCCAGGCGGAAGGCGGAGGCCTGACAGTTCGGACTTCAGACTTCAGTCTTCAGAGTTCAGGCGTCAGATGGTCAGACCGTCAGAGACTCAATTCTAAAAACTAAAAGTGAACGTAAACGCTTTACAGTTTACGTGTGTACTTTTCGATTGATGAATGTCAAAACCGTTTTTAAAAATATATAGTTCAAAAGACTGGAACAAAAATGGACCTGTTAAATATACCAATTTTAATAGAACACTACATAATATTTTGGTTTTTTTATAAAAAAACATCTGAGAAATTCATGCAATGCAAACTGTGCATCTCAGGAGTCAGGAGGCTCATCAGGTCTCCAAATTGGGTGATGGGTCTGCTAATCGAACTGTTGAACGTAAACGTACATATATATTTTTTCAAAGTCAAGCATTGAGTCTGCGAATCGATGATACTGTTGAGCGTAAACGCATTTTTTTTCTTCTTCAAAGTTTGCACGTTCACGTTTCAACTTTCAATATCTGATTCTGTTTTGTTTTTTTACACAACACACAATGACCCTTTGAGAGAGCATGTCAAAACAAAACAAAAACAAAATTCCAGCTGTGGACAAACACTCTGAACTTCTGGTTGCAGGCACACGCAGTGTCACGCACGTCTCTGACAGACTGAAGACGCATTGAACTTCTGAAGTCACTGAATCGTATTTTGTAGCAGCCTCTCTCTCGCTCTCTTTCTCACTCTCCCACTCTATATATACTAGTAGTAGTAGTAGAGAGAGAGAGCTGGCGGTTTGGTATACACTGTGTTTTTAAAAAAGAATGATAATATATAGTATATCCTAAGCCAACAAGAAGGTTGACTGCTCTTAATTTTTGAACAGTGCTTGTTGACAGCCGAGTAAAGCTACAGCTGTTGGGTGTTGCAGGGGAGCGATGAAGTACAGTATTCATTTACTTGCGACGTAGTGTTCGACTTTTGCATTTTTGAAGCTGTACTATAGAGGGTAAAAAAGGCAACGTTCGACATACATTGCTGCCTACATGCGTTGGTGTATATACCCGCTCTTGTCCCTTGCTTCCATTTTTTCTACAGCTTTATAAGTTTATTGTCAAAGTGTACAGTACCTTAACGGATAAAGGCATAGTTGCACGAACAGGTCATATATTTACATACATACATACA